AGAGAGGAGAGAGAGAGAGAGAGAAGAGAGAGAGAGAGAGAAGAGAGAGAGAGAGAGAGAGAGAGAGAGAGAGAGAGAGAGAGAGAGAGAGAGAGTGAGTGAGTGAGAGAGAGAATGAAAACAGCGAGGAAGAGCTGAAAAAAGAGAGAAAGTTATGAGACGAAAAAAAAGACAAAAACAAGAAAAGTAAACACAAATACCACCATAGCAAACAACAAAAATCAACCCTCCCCCACCCCCTCCCCTCCCCCTAGATTCGCCCCAGTTCACCCTGTGATTGTATTCATGAGAGAAAACACCCAGGGTTACCACGGGGGGCGGGGGGGGGGGGGCAGTGAGAGTCGACTACCATATTACTTCGGATTCAATGTAATCTATTACACGGGATGGGATTATTTAAGGGAGGAGGGGGGGGGGGTAGGAAATGCTAGGAGAGAGGGGGTGGGGGAGAGGGAGGAGGGGGTGGGGGTAAAGGAGGAGGAGGTTGGGGAAAGGGAGATGGAGGGGATGCGGGGAAAAGGAGGAGAAGGGAATGGGGAAAAAGGAGGAAGTAGGGGAAAGAGAGATGAGAAAGGGGTGGGGTGGGGAAAGGAGGAGGGGTGGGGGGAAAGGATGGGAGGAAGTGGGAGAAAAAGAGAGGGAGGCTGAGAAGGGAGACAGGGATGGGGAGATGAGGGTGGGATGTTGGTGGGAGACGGCTGGGGAAATAAGGGGAACGAGGTAAGGAAAAGAAGATGAAGGGAGAATGTGGGAAGGGAGAGGGGAAGGGAAAGGAAGAAGAAAATGGGTGGAGATGAGGGTGAAATTTGGTGAAGATGCAGATGATGAGAGAAAGAGTGGATGGGAAGTGAGATGAGGATAGGATGGCTGGGGAGGGGGGGGGGGGGAAGGCGAGGATATGGGGAGGGAATATGGGTGGAGGGGGGAGGAGAGGGAGGTTGGGGAGGAGAGTGAGGGTGGGAGGTGAGAGAATGAGGGGATGGAGGAGGTAGGGAGGGGGTGAGAGGAGGGTGAGGGGAGGAAAGGAGGGGGTAGGGGAGATAGGAGCTTATGGAGGAAAATGAGGATGGGAGGGGGTGGGGAGAGGGAGTTGGGGAGGAAAATGAGGATGGGAGGTGAGGAGGGGGTGGGGAAGGAAAGGAAATTGTGAGGAGAGGAGAAGAGAGGGAGAGGAGGTTGTCGAGGGGGGGGGGGGGGGGAGGAGGGGAGGGGTAAAGGGAAAGGAGAGAAATGGGGGAGGAAATGAAATTTGGGGTGTTTGCTGGGGAAGGTGGGGAAGGTGGAGGAGGTGGGGGAAAGGTAGTTTGGAGTGAGATCAGGGAGAGAGTAAATGAGAATGGGGGGGGGGGGGGAGAAAGTGGGAACGGATACAGTGGAAGAGTTGGGGTTGTGGGAGGTTGGGAGAGGGGGGGAGGGGGGGAGGGGAGGGCGTTATTTCAGGTAGATAACAGAGATTTACATAGCGAGTAAACACTACTTCTCTTTCCTGTAGTATCCATTTCACACACAGACACACACACACACACACACACACACACACACACACACACACACACACACACACATATATAAATATATATATATATATTATATATATATATATATATATATATATATATATATATATATATATATATGTATGTATGTATGTGTGTGTGTGTGTGTGTGTGTGTGTGTGTGTGTGTGTGTGTGTGTGTGTGTGTGGTGTGTATGTATGTATTAATTTTCCCTCCCCCTATCTCCCCTTCTGTATACCCCCTTGTTCGTTTTCTTCCTCCCTCTCCTCCCTCCTTTCTCCCTTTTTCTGCCCCTCTTCTCTCTCTCCCTCTGCTTCCCTTCCCTCTCTTTCCCTATCTTCTCCTCTCTTTCTTCTCTCTCTCAATCTTTTCTCATGCTGATTCCTCTATATCCATTTTCCTCTTTCCCACTTCTGTCTCATTTCTCTCACATCTGCCCTCTCTTCTCTTTTTCTTTTACTTTCCCCTTCTCTCTTTTTCATTATTTTCATCATTCCCATCTCCTTTCTCCCTCCTTCCCTCCTTTCTCTCTGTCTCCTTTGTTTCATACTACTTTCTCTCTTTCTTTCTCTCTCTCTCTCTCTCTCTTTCTCTCTCGTCTCTCTTCCTCTCTCCGTCTCTCCCTTCCCTCCCTCCCCTTCCTCTTCCCCTTCCCCCTCCCTCCCCTCCTCCCTCCCGTCTCCTCTTTCCCTTCCCTCCCTCTCCCTCTTCCTTGTCTCCCTCTCATCTCTCTCTCTCTTACCCTTTTTCTCCTCCCACTTCTCCTCCTCTTCCCTCCCCCTCCCTTCCCTCTTTCCCCTCCCTTCTCTCCTCTCTCTCATCTCTCTCTCTCTATCTCTCCCTCTCTCGCTCCCTCTCCTTCCTTTCCCTCCCCCCCTCCCCTTTTCCCCTCCCTCTCCTTCCCCCCCCTTCCCCTTTTCCCCTCCCTCTCCCTCCCCCTTCCCTTTCCCCTTTCCCTTCACCCTTCCCTTTTCCCTTCCCACTTCCCCCCCTTCCCCTTTTCCCCTCCTCCTCTTCCTCGCCCCTCCCCCCTTTCCCTTTTCCCACTGTCCGAAAAACGGCCAATTTTTTTCTCCTCTTTGTTTGCTCTCGTGTACTTCAGT